ATTTTTATATATATAGAAGATAGAAGATATAGATAAGGGCGCGGGTTCGATCCTGGCAAGTACCAATGTGATTTTTCCGAGTCATATGTACTTTCTAAGAGTATTTAGACATCACTTATTAATGCATTCCCAAAGAGGGTTGATGTCAGGCAGTAAAAAAAAATCCAAAACCATTCGCAACATGTAAGGCAGACCCTGGCTATAGCTGGGAAATTGCCAGGTAGAAGAAGAAGAAATGTACGTAATATTCACTGTTTATAAATGAATAACATCCAACGAAGGTCATCAGCGTTGAAAACGTGCCATGAATGGAGTAAGTCGTGCGCCACAGATTCATTCAAAATCCTTGGTTAAGTTTTGTTCTTACGTAACTTTATTATTGTTGTTATACGGAAAATAATACAAAATCTATTATATGTATATATAAATTGTGATCGTATATGTTTGAAAAATATCATTTAGAAGCTTTATCAATAAAAATAATGATTTTAATTTTCGACTATTCCAATATATTCGTCATCAGCCTATCAGAGCCCACTGCTGAGCCTCTTCTCACGTGGATAAGGTTTGAGCATTTACCACGCTTGCTCAAGACGGGTTGGTAATTTCAAACTTATAATTGTGAAAAAAGTCCAGGTTTCCTCACGATGTTTTCCTTAATGTTTTAATATGTTCATTAATAAAAAAATTATATGATTAAAATACATGCGACGTTGGTACTTCGTATATCACGCTAAGCTAGTTCATTGTCATCTTCTATATATATAAAAATAGTTGCTGTTCCTTAGTCTCGCTAAAACTCGAGAACAGCTGAACGGATTTATCTTATCTTAGTCTTGAAATGTTCGTGGATGTTCAGGGAAGGTATAAAAGGTGAAAAAAAATAGATTCATTACTGGGAAAACCATAAAAACAGCCCTTTTCTATTTCCCATACAAACGTTTTTTTTGACATTAGATTTGACAACTAACTAATATGTCAACCATTCTGTCGCACTTCAACACACGGAGATTTATGGCTTTAATAGGTAAACTCCAAAAATATAAATAAAAAAACGTAACAGATATTTCTTGATTATAGGGCGATACGAAGTTCACCAGGTCTTCTAGTACATAATAAATCATTAAAAAACTATATATATACTTCCAAAAACTATATTTTTATTAACAATTAGACATTATCTCCAATTTATCACACACTTCATGTACAGAACTAATGTTGCAAAAAATCTTCCGTTCGTGATACACACGGTCGGATTACATATAATTTTTATTTGTATTTGTTTCTAAGAACTCGCTCGCTCCTCGATCGTGCTGTGTATGCGTCGTTGTATCAATAAAGACACAGCCAACGCTTTTAATGTATGCGGCTCGTTTATCTGTATATACTTGGCATCCGGTGTTAGACTGGCCTCATAATAATTATATATTATATATATATATATATATATATATATATATATATATATATATATATATATATATATAATATACATATAGGTATAGGTACGTACGTACATACGTTGTTTTGCCATATAAAAAAGGGTTGGTGAAAAAAAGTAAAAATTTTGGATTGTATGTATTTTTAATGCTAAGTACATTATAAAAAATAAAAACAAAAAATTTCGTCGAAAAAACTAATTAAGAGTTAAATTCTCTCGTGACTTAAGGGTATGAAAAATAGATGTTGACCGATTCTTAAACCTACTAAATATGCTCACAAAATTTCATCGACATCGGTCCAGCCGTTACCGAGTTCTCTGTCTAACAACGCGACACGAGAATTTTATATGTAGGTAAGATAAATAAATATTATATTAAAGCTTATCATCCAAAAACAAAATCAAATCAACAATTATTTCATACCGATGAAGTAACAGTGTGTCGTAACAGCCGATATAATATAATTATAATATAAAGAGTATTATGAATTAAACGTTAGTGATAACACTATCACTCTAGAAGGATGCGGTGATAAGAACATATTTGACAAAACAGTCGAAAGATAACGACTGGCTACGCGAAAGATCGGTAATTATATTAGTTACTAGCTTTCCGCCCGCAGCTTATATCGCGTTTCCAAGAGAAATTTTCAAAAGTCTGGGATAAAAACTATCCTATGTTCTTTATCAAGGTCAACTCTATGTCTGTACCAAATTTCATTAAAATCAGTCCAGTGGTTTAGGCGTGAAAGCGTAACAAACAGACAGACAGAGTTACTTTCGCATTTATAATATTAGTAGGGATTCGTCTTAAAAGTTAAAACATTTTAACCACTATAGTCCTATGCCCTAATATCGATCTTTGTACTCTAAATAATGATAATTTTCTATTGAAATATATAAAAGTATGTTCAATATATATATAATAGAAGTATGATATATGTATGTATGTATGTATATAGTGGGTAGCATTTGGTTGCACGCTTGACTCGACCGGATGGAAAGCGGACCGAGGCAGACTTCCGCCTGGCGAGCGGCCTCCGGAATAATAAATGAAACCTGATTTCTATACTTCATTCACTACACTACAACACTTCTATACTACAAGACATGTGAGTTAGTAAGTCTATATAGTACTATTCACACAAATTTTCAATATAATTTTGATCTACCCACGAAAAGACGTGATTCATTCACGCCTACATAACTAACCATTTGTTAGATAAAGCCAAATATCTTATATAGTTTTAAACATTAATATTAAGTTTTAGAAGATTTAATGAGTTCTGAGATTTTTGCGAGTCATTTAAATGAAACTAATATTTTGAGGATGTACTACGCGACTTTATTTTTGATTAAAACTACATACTACCGACGTTTTCCCGTATGTAGTTCTTATCAAAAATAAAGTTGCGTTTTATCCGTAAAATATTAGTATAATTCTATAAGCTTTCTTATTCTATACATGTGGTAGACACATTTAATTTTAAACTATCTGTAATGTTGTATATACAGTAATATGGCCGCCGTACATCATGTGTAACCCAATTGCTCCCGTTTAATTGACACAGTTGACATCGCTAGCATATTCTTTATGAAATTACAACAGGAAACACAAACAAACTATGCTGGCAGACCCTGGCTAAAGCTGGGAAATTGCCAGGAAGAAGAAGAAGACACAAATAAACTATGCTAAATTGTTATTTTTACTCACATAAGATTAGTTTGTCCTAAGCATAATGATTCTACTGTTTAAGATCATTAAAATTTATTTAATATGAAGCATACAAATTTATTTCTTAATTAATATCGTGCAAAAAACTATTGCTGTAATGCACTTAATGTATTCTCAAATCATAATATTATATCGGATTTATAACTCTATGTTTTTAAAAAGCTTTGACAATAGACAATATTGATGTCATAGACAATATGGCGGTAAAATAGATTTAGGAATATAGATATACAGGTTTCTATGTATATTTAAATCGGAAATATTTTGAATTTTTTTGTGCTTTATTTTGTATTCAATACCTACTTTAATTGTTAATAGCTAAATCTTATTAAGCATATCGTTGATGCAATTTTAATACTTATGCACTTGACTTTGAATCTATATTTGCATAAGCATACAAAGAATATATCAACATATATTGCTGCTTACACTTTAAGTTAAGCTTTCAACAAAGCAAATGATAAACAAACAGTCGTAGTGTCTGATATCATCGAATAACAAGAACGTAAAGATACTACCTCGAAATGAACCGAAGCATTGTGAATATTCACGTTAAAACTCCTTCCGTGAATTAAATCTTTACTACATACAACATGGCGTCGTATTCTTTGTGGCCGCTATAAAAGACGCGCAATTTTGATGTTTCTTAAAAGACAAAAAAAAGATTTCTTTCTACAGAAATATTCATATTTTATTCAATAACAAATTATTATTAGCATTATAAAAAAAATCAGGCTATCTAATGATTTTTTCGTAAATAAAATCGTTCGCAGAGTGAATTTTTGACATGGGATTATAGATAGTCAATTGATTCCATGTGTATATGAGCAGACATCAAATTACAATATCTCGGCGGAAGTTAGACAGTTAATTGGACAAAAAATAGCCCTATCCGGATACGGGATGGTTCTAAAAAAAACTCTGCTTTGCACATGTCGATGTAATGTTCCGGTCTAAAAAAAAAACATCTGTAGATATTAACGTTTTTAATATTGACTAGAATTCATAATTAATGCTGCTTTATTTCTGTAATCAACTATTAAGTTTTAAATTCTAAAATGTTGTTTAAATTAGGGACAGAGTAAAAATATAAATATAGAACTTTAAATCAAAAAGGTTTTATTGTAAAGATATTGAAATTAAGTTTTTTCGTTAAAACTAAAGCAAATCATTTAAATATTATATCGTTTTGTCGTACAATTCACAATTTGGTGGTCGGTTATACCGAGTTAGACTGACAATAGACCAAGCAAGACCCAGGTAACAGTTTTTATACCCATTCACCTGCGAAAAACTTACTTTAAATTAAAGCTTGACATAACATCCATTGACAGTTATATTGAGTCTGTTTCAAACAAGCAATAAACATATACATTATGAATGATTGAGGTAAGGTTGATAAGTTCTATCAATGAAATATAATTATAGACTGTTCTATGCAGAGATAGTTAGATAGATAGTACATACTTTATTGCATGAGAGGTTGACGTTTTTAATATTTTCTCAGTGAATAGTGTAAATGACGTGTTACATAAGTGGTACATTCGTTTTAGCTGTAGTAGGCAGTAGTATGACATCAGGCGGTCCCGTATGGTATAGCGTTATCGCTCGTCCTTGACACAGACACGCGTGCACAACGCGCTTATTGTGGCTGCAACCTTGCGGAAATCGCTCTCTTATATATTTAATTGATACGAACGAGGCCGCACTCTACATACACTATAATCAGACAATGAACACCCTGCCAGACCTAAAGCACGCGCGTGGCTGTCGTATGCTTCATCAATGGCGCGTATTTTTAACTTTGGATATGTCAGGATCGTGATGCTCAGCAGCAGGACGAAAGTGGGCGGCGTGGTGCGACTCTCGCCGACCGGAAACCTAATTCCCGGATGCGGCCGCGGGGGATCTCGCCGGAAGCTCGATAAACGAGCACATCCGTTGCCGTCGCTCGCGCCGCAAAATTTGGCACCGCGAGCGCTCGCAGCCCACTTCCGGCCCCCTCCTCCCCCCCGACGACCCCGTTCGCCTGCGAAAATAGCGGCCGACCGCTTCGTGTACGCGGTTCATTCAGTATGGCCGCCTTCCATTCATAAAAAGGCGAGGCGCGCTGCGAGGGACGCGGCCGGCGGGGCGCTGCTCTCCGCCGCCGCTCCCTCGGCCGACGCCAGTGCGGAATGTGCCAGCGAATGGAGCGGTCGTTTCGTCGGAGCGCAGCGCTAACGCTCCCGGTTTTCCATTAAAATGTGTATAAGAATAAGTGCAGTGAATCCGCACGAGTTCGGTACGGTAACTGGAAGCGCCGTCGTCGAGATCGGGTGTAGGAATCAACGAAGAACTTCACCGAGGAAGTGAGTAGCGGCCATATTGCAGTGATAACCGCGCGGCGGGCGGACGAGAATCGAGGCCGGTGCGTGGGCCGCCCCCCGCCCGCGCAGGTGCCGCTCCGGCCCGCGCCGCTCTTATGAGCCTTCCCGTGGATTTGCGCGACCAAAATTCGGTGCTTCTGCCGAATTTCGGTGTTTATTTGAGGCCGACGGCGCGGGCCCGGAGCGGTAACCCACGGCTGAGTGTTGTGTGTGGGCCTCGCGAGGCCTGTGTACTGTGTCCTTGTGTCGTGTGTGTAGGAGACGTGTGGCCGTGGGACGTCCGCCTCGTAAGTAGCACGACGTCACCTCGTCCGGGATGTGAGTTGTGACGAGAGGCGGCGGTTTGGTCCGGCTCGCTGTATGTACAGGGCGTATCACGTAGGCAGGAGGAAGCACTGGCTCGGCTCGTAACTGACGGAACACGTATAATGGACCGCGAGACAGACGTCCTACACGTGCGCCCGCGCCGCCTTCACGCTACACACGAGAACCTTCCAACACTGAATGCTTTATTTACGAAACCGCCTCAAACATTAGAGTCGAACAACCGTTGCGGATGTGATCACGGCGGGCTCGAGAGTTCCCGCAAGCGGCCATCGTACCATACACGATATTAAAAACTCATCAGTTTAGAAATCTTAGTATAAGCTAAAAAATAACACTGAACGTTCACATACAGCCAGTTATATATGTATGTTTGTTCCTAGTATTTTGATATTATAGCAACAGTCTAATTTCACCGGCGGATGGTAAAGGCTAAGCAGATAACGTGTAGGTGAATTGTAAACAATAAACGGCGCGTATCAAAAAAACTGACGCTCGCCGGTCAACACGTTCGTGGTGGTTTTCTATCGAATGTAATTTTCGTTTAATAAATATTAAAATACGTGAAATCTTTATCGATCCAGTTTAGAGCGTTAATGGCTAATATTTTTCATCTATATACATGTATACCCGTATGTAATTTTTTCTCATACACACCGTTCATTAGTTTCCAAGTAGATGTTTACAATCTCGCATATTTCATCCAGAACAAATTTACATCTCACACATCTGTTGATAATATAAACTCGGGGACTAAATATAACTTCGCTACTTTGTTGATGCATGGAGTCGAAGAGTTAACTCTGACTAACAATACGCGAACTATGTGGATACCGCGGCTTCATTTACACCGGATAAAATAGTAATAAATCAGCTACGTACATATATATCTATATAATTGCTAGTTCGTATAAGTGTGACAGAATAAAACGTACATATCGAGCGGTTTTTTAATCATACACACATAATCTAAAATACATATAGTTTTCTTCAATAGAATCCGAAGTAAATTATACCTTTTATACATGCATACTGTCGTATAATTTATATTTTTTGTACCTACTATTGAGCTTAAACATACAAAAATATCATTAGTACTCCATAAATTTCTCCACACTTATAATCTGATGTTTTATTTTAGTTGTATCCACGTTATTTATAGACTAGCCGTTAATAAATTAGAATTGATGTCAATTTTGTATTAAAATGTATTATAAATTCAAATAAGTCTAGCGATATACAAAATCTGAAGACAACTTAGACTTAGTAATTTCATAATAGGTATTTCTTAAACTTGTTATACTAAGGAATTATGGAATACGGAAGCGTTATTAGGTTAAAAATATTATCTTAGTGATTGAAACATTAATTATAAGATTAAAGAGACTAAGTAGATTATACTGCTGGTCGCCAGTAGCGGTGTAATATATTGAATTATCTCAAAGGAAATGCTTCACTCTCCATCAAAGGATATAAGTGAATATCGAACAGCTTATTAATAGAGATCACGGTAGAAGGTTACTTTCATACTTCATGTTGATGTCGCAAAACCAAAACGACGAAACTCGTCATAGAAGACGGTGACTAAAGTATTCGGGTGATCTGAGTGAGTTCATCAACATCCATAGAATTCACTCAGTAAGTGTTCAGAATAAAGTAGTACATAATGACGCGCTTTAAACTCAATACGTTGTCTTTAAAGAAAAGACTAGATGAGAAATAACTCCCTCCAATAGAACGAAACTGAGATTATGTACGGCTATCGAGTATCGTCTGGTTATGTGTGTTATACACACACAACACGCACGCCGAGGTTTACGGCGGACCATTAGCAATAAGCCCTAGTAGGTTCTTTTCAAATTTGGATAGGTAGGGAGAGGAGCTTGGACAGTGGAGGTGAGCGTATAACGCGTTAGATATGCCTTTAAACCTACACCTGGGACACAAGTCGCAGTCACTGTTGAAGCTTCTCTCACTACAACGATGGACCCGACACTCGCACGGTGAATCCATTGAAGCGAGGTTTCGTCTCGCATGCCCTAAGAGTGGAACATTAACTAGAACATTCTATTCTTTCGTCAGGTGGCCACGATGAGGGAACAGGAAGGCGACGGCCCCGAGAGCCGTTAGCCGGACTCCATGGACGAGTATGGCGGGCCGGCGCCGCCCCGGCCGCCCAAGACGAGCGGCGCGCGCGTGCACCGGCCGGCGGGCCCGGGCCGCGCCGCGCCCGTGTCGCTGCTGCGGCCGCGGCCCCAGGCCGAGCGGGAGCCCAACGCGTACGTGGAGGCCCCGCGGCGCGCGCTCGCCCCGCCCGCGCCCCGCGCGCCGCCCGCGCAGCCCCTCAAGCCGGTGACGAGCCAGCCGGCGGTGGGCGCGGAGTCGATCCTGTGCGCCGGGTGCGGGCGGTGCCGCTGCGAGCAGTGCGCCCGGCCGCGGCCGCTGCCGTCCCGCTGGCTGTGCGGCTCGTGCCTGTGCAGCGCGGAGGCGTGCGTGGACTACGCGTCGTGCATGTGCTGCGCCAAGGCGCTGTTCTACCACTGCGGGAGCGGCGAGGAGGAGGCGGCGGGCGCGTGCGGGCCGCGGCTGGCCGTGCTGGCGGCGCTGGCCGTGCCGCTGCCCTGCCTGTGCCTCTACTGGCCGCTGCGCGCGCTGTCGTCGCTGTGCGCGTCGCTGTACGCCCGCGCGCGCCGGCCCGGCTGCCGCTGCGCGCCGCCCTCCTCCTCCAGTATTATCTAGTCCCGCGGCTTCCTGTACAAATATTTATTCTTGGAGTGCGGACGGGAGCCTCGGCCGAGGCAGTGCGAGTGTTCGTCCTTGTATATATAGTCGTATGGTGTGAATGTATGTGAACGTGTCGACGGACGCCGAGTCTCAAATTTTCTTGAGACCTAAACGTGTCATAGGAAAACGCTGACGTTAGTATTTTGGATTCCACACAGATCCAGAAAAGATTAAGAAACGAGATATAGAGTATACTTATTAAGATGTAGATAATTTACCATTTATTTATTAACTAAATTTGTATTTATTTGTAAATAAAACGACAACATTATATTATAAATACGAATGTTTACTACAATATTTGTTTTCTTTATACATTAAACGCATCCGACCAAATCCTTGTTGTAATGCGACAGCCTTAGGCTAAGTATGAAAAGACTATAAACTACTGTTCAAAGGGACAAGTTGCTTTCAGCTGTGTTAGAATAAGATATAGAAACAACACCCTACATATACATATATAACTATATTTGTACAAAAGAATAAACAATATCGTATACATAAATATATATTATTTCACATATATGCTGATTCTAAACTTATTCAAATTAAGAACTTCCTAGCGATGCTATTTTTTTCTTTCAATAGAATAGCTACGGTCCACAACATACAGCCCAGCATACGTTATATAAATAGTAAGTTTATGAGTCGACAAGCGGAAGTGACGCGCCGCTTCCTCCGACGACGGATGCGCTCCTGTCGCCTTCCTGTCTTATTTTATGACTGGAATGCACTATACGTTATAATATAAACATCGATGCACTAATAAAGCAGAGTAATACAATTTGAATGATACAGAATAAATTAAAGGACTCGAATATCAGTAAAGTATTCGCAGGATATATAGTTGGTGCTTCGTTTAAATTGGGGCAACAGATGTTGACAGGCTGCCACGTTTGATGGCCGGACGAACGCTGGCATGTGATAAAAGGAATTATTGCCTATTCGACTAACAAGAGATCACGACTAGAACGAATGACTACGAAACAGGTGTTACGTGAACTATATTAAATATTTTATTACAATAAAAAAAAACTGAACAATATAAAAGTCTATAAAATTAAACATTAATTGGCTGTATGGCGAAGTTCGTCGTCTGTGTAATTTTTGATTTTAAAAAAAGTAGATATTTACATAAACATTGATTTAGAAGCTAATTTGGATTACACCGTTGATATTAGATGTGTCATTAGCCCTACAATGTATGTTACCTCTGTTCTCGATATATTTAGATCCTGGTGTATCGAGCGTCGTATACACCTCAATATTTACAACGCACGTAAGAGTCGTATCAAGAATTCTAATGTGTAATATTTGCGACCGCAGGGTCCGTTCTACTAGGAATGGACGCACGACGTTTCTGTTAAATAGACGCAAATCTAACTAGCTGATGTATTACAATAGATAAACCTGTTTGCTTCGTATGAATTCATGTTTAAATTGATAGAAAAAAAACTATAATCTGCCGTATAAAATACGTCGACCCGGGGATCTTTTGAGTTTTGACCTACGCTTCATGGAAGATGGATTATTCTTGTCATTGTGTGAGCTTGGTTAGGTTGAGGTGCGTCGTGGCGCTTATATTCGTAAACATTTCACTGTCAAATACTATCGATATTCCTTGACCTATGAACCCAACCGCATGATGCAGTGGCATAATGATTGTTCGACATTCACGAGACGTGCTGCTCAATCCGTTACAGTGAATCACTGCTATATATCAAAAAGGATACCAATATTTCATACTAATATAATAACTAAGAGCTATTCATATAAATAATAATGCAATATTTGTCTTATGAATACTTTATTATGACTAAAAAGGTTACATCAACTCAACTGAATAGTGTACATCTGAAAATAAATATAAAACATGACGCTTACATATTTTGTTCGTATTAAAAGTAAAGTATTATGATAAATAGTGTTCTATTAATAAAAATAGTCTTTATCATTCGACGCCTCATCCACGTAGCCAGAGGGTCTGCTAAATATTATACCACTTGATGCATTACAATTTGAATTTTAAATACAAGCACTCACAATTCGATCTCTATATAATCAAAAGTTCCTTTAACATAGAACATATAAAGATTTAAGTATGAAAAAACACTAATTACTTTATAAACACTGTTATTGTTAAAACTGGTTGGTATTTGGCCGTTAGCGCATCATGTGCATCGCCGTCGCAAGTAGATAACGCGGGTCACAACTCAACGCAGGAAGCGGCACTACAAACGATTCCCGATGCGATGATAACGTCCATGAAAATTGAGCAACCGCTCGCTCGTTGCTAACCTATCTCAAGACCGAAATTACACAATTAATGAAAGAAACATGAGTAATCTATTGCCCGTTTGATGATCTTAATGGACACAATAGATTTTGACGTGACTCGCAGTTTAGCGCGAATTCTAAACACCTGCTAGTGTCAAATGAAGTTCAATTCCTATTTCGGGTTGCCATTAATGATAATTAAAATTTAATAGGCAACGAAATATTCTAGAAGTACTTGTTATTAAGATATTTTATTATTTTGATATGAAATTTTCTACTTTGAAATTATTTATGTATAAAATGATAAGACTTAAATGTTACCTGATGAATAATTGACAGAATAACCATTACTTAATAGCTATGAATGACTTTTCTATGGAAATATTTAAAATGCGAGTTATAGGGAGTCGGCAGCGGGTTCATTTCTAAGTTAAGCGGTTGTTCGTGTCCATTTAAGATTCCTGACGTCAAGCGGGCACATAAACAGTGTCCGCTCAACGAAACCATAAATCGATTCATTCATAAGACGTTTCGCTTCATCAATCAATCGTCTATAAATAAAAGATGAAAACGCCGCACGGGTAAGTCGGCTTCCACTTCGGATTCTGACGTCAGGCTACAATAGATGTAGTATTTTTATTACTGAATATAAACTGTTGAGAAAAATTGCGTTGCACACAGTTTATAATAAACAAGTATATTACTTATGGATCGCGATTCGCAACTTTAATGTAACCGGTGATAAATATTTTGTTTTTTATTTCGTATTACCTATAAATCTAGTTCGATATTGTATCGAGTGGTTTACGAATGGATTTAATTTTAATTTACAACAAATAGATTCATTAAATTAACGAAGTATCTTCCAATCATTGGACTTTAAGTTATTGTAGCGGCGATTGCTATGTTAATATTACACAGTATATAGTGCGATATATAATACATACATATACATATATATATATTTTCTGTCTATTTTTCTTTTTTCTATAAGCTGTATTAGATTAGATTGTATTTTTAATAATAAAATAACATAATAAATTTACTAGCACAGATCTTCACATCCAAATGTGTGTTCCGATATCGTACAATGAATGCTACTATATATGAAATTTAAAAATAAATCTTAAATGAATAACTCAATATAACAGAGATAAGGATTCCAGACAGTTGTACAACTCGTATGACACCATTACTTGATAACTATGTATTATTGACTGGAATTATCTTAAAAGAAATCCGAATTAGCTCTCAGAACTAGTCATCGGCTGTAGATAATGTCTGTCCCCATTCGTCTGCCTACGCGACGACGTCTCTCGTGTGTACCATTAGTATGAGTTATCATTGCCAAACTAAATACTGATAGTTTTAACGTTTCATTCATTAATCGTGTATGTCGAATGAAAATATTTGAAACTAGAGGACCTGGTGAACTTCGTATCGCCCTATAATCAAGAAAGTGTTTTGAAGTGCGACAGAATGATTGACATATTAGTTAGTTGTCAAATCTAATGTCAAAAAAAAAACGTTTGTATGGGAAATAGAGAAGGGCTGCTTGTATGGTTTTCCCAGTAATGAATCAATTTTTTTCAGCTTTTATACCTTCCCTGAACCTCCACGAACATTTCAAGACTAAGATAAGATAAATCCGTTCAGCTGTTCTCGAGTTTTAGCGAGACTAAGGAACAGCAATCCATTTTTATATATATAGAAGATAGACAGATGTTTTAGATATGTAGTCTTGAGAGGAGTAGCGAGCCTTCAGAATAAATTCAGGATAATTATTTCAGTAAGTACATTCTACGTATATGTTACTTGTTAGGTATTCAAGTTATATGACTTTAAATAAAATCAGAAAAGAGTAATCTTCCTAATAATTCTCCATTTGACTGTTGAATAAAGAAGGATACTTCTAATTAACATAATTATTTTTGTAAAATTCTTTTAATTCTCTATTTCTTGGTATAAAGATTCAATTCTATTGGAAAATATTGAGAAGACGTGTGTTGACTAAATGCAGCTAAAGTTTTCGGAGTAATACCTAATAGCCTTCTATTGATGATCGATCCACTGAACGAATGAAGATTTTCCTTTAATGGATACGAGTTATTAATTGGAATTTGTCAACATGATAAACTGTGTTCCATTTTAGCATTTCTACCCTAACAGTCTGACTTCAAAAAGTAGAAAATATCAAAAAAATTAAGAGATCTACGCCTTTTTTAGTGTGCAAAAAACATGATACTTATTAATACTTAATAGAATTCATTCACGCTAAGTAATAAAATAATAATGTCACTTGTTATACCGTATGTTCTGTTGTTACTTTACTTTGAAATAATAAAACGTTTTACTTATACTTTTACAGAAAAAGTAAGTTTTTTTTTAGTTCAATAAAATCGTACTACTATGAGTAATACGTAAATATAAAAGAATTATATTCAAACTTATATATTATTTTTTTTCAATAAATTTAATGAATTCGTGCATCGCAAATGGCAACATTAAAATACGGATAAAATTTGAAATTGACAAATCATTTCTACTTAACAAGAAGTCACCTACGTACATTTGACGATGTTTAAAGATGCAATATATGATCATTTAGCCAGTTTTAACACTTGTTCAAGTAAACCATGGAAAAAATATTAACATTTATGTTGACTGTTAATACATTA